ACATACGTAGCCAAACTTCATAACTTCACATAGAACAATAACACATACAATCCAATGAGATTAATGTTCAGCAGATCAAGACTTTGAGAATAATCCCTCACAAGACATACTTTGTACAAACCATATCCTAATTACATGACAGTGGTGAATATTGGGGTGTCAGGGTGTCACAAACAGTGCTACACAGAGATCCCTTCCCCAGAACTAAGGTGCAGCCATCTCTGGGGTGAGGAGCAGGGGCTGTTTAAATAGGTAAGGGGAAATCTTTGGGTTTGTTCTTACTGAGAAAATCATCATTCTTGTCCCCAGAGGTTCTGGGTATGTCGATGAAACTCATTTCCCACTGCTCCTGTACAGGTATATCCCACCGGACCATTCATAGGCTCCCACCACTCCCAGCTCTGGATTCCCAGCAGCTCCCCGTCCCACAGAATCATAGAATATCAGGGTTGGAAGAGACCTCAGGAAGTCATCTAGTCCAACCCCCTGCTCAAAGCAGGACCAACCCCAACTAAATCATCCCAGCCAGAACTTTCTCAAGCCTGACCTTAAAAACCTGTAAGGATGGAGATTCCACTGCCTCCCTAGGTAACCCATTCCAGTGCTTCACCACCCTCCTAATGAAATAGTGTTTCCTAATAGCCAACCTAAACCTCCCGCACTACAACTTGAGACCATTGCTCCTTGTTCTGTCATCTGCCATCACAGAGAGCAGCTGAGCTCCATCCTCCTTGGAATCCCCCTTCGGGTTGTTGAAGGCTTCTATCAAATCTCCCCTCACTCTTCTCTTCTGCAGACTAGACAAGCTCAGTTCCCTCAGACTTTCCTCATAAGTCATGTGCCCCAGCCTCCTAATCATTTTTGTTGCCCTCCGCTGGACTCGCTCCAATTTGCCCACATCCTTTCTGCAGTGGGGGGCCTAAAACTGGATGCAATACTCCAGATGTGGCCTCATCAGTATCTAATAGAGGGGAATAATCACTTCCTTCAATCTGCTGCCAATGGTCACACTAATGCAGCCCAATATGCCGGCCATCTCGACCTTGAAAACCCATGTCTAGAGCCCCAGGGCTACTGTAGCTCCTGCCCCGGCTCTGTTACCTTTGAAGGCGAAGAACTTCTCCTGAAGCTGGCTCTGGATGCCCTGGAGGGCGTCGAAATTGTCCACCCGGAAGACGTGCTCGTTGGTGGGCTCAGAAGCGATCTCATGGAGCTCCCGTTGCCCTGCACTGCCGACCTTCATGGAGCAGAGGGAGGTACAGGGGAGACAAGGGCATCAGCGTCAGTCACAGCCAAGAGCCCTGGGCACATATCCACCCAACCTGAGCCCTGCTGGGCCCTTGATAGGCACGGCTCAGCCAGTCCCTTCTGGCCTGGGAATCTATGACTGTAAACCCGAGTTTGTTGATGAAAGGCAGCTTACGTCGACCTAACTCTGTAAGCGGCTACACTAAAATGTAGCTCCCACCCATGTAACTCGCCCACTACACCGACTTCATAACTCCACTTCCACAAGAGGCATTGCTTTTAGGTCAATGTCGTTAAGTCGATGCAGTATCCATATAGGCACTGTGAGGCTTACGTAGCCTAAGGCTCCGGCTGTTGGCCCCAGGCGGTGGGGCTTCAGCCGCACAGTGCCCTGCACTGACAATTAAATTGGTACAAGGCCCCTGGTGAGGACGCGCACCACCAACAGGAGAGTAATGGGGACATGAAAAACCAATTTAATTACTGCGGTGGCTGTGTGACGACATAACTGAATTTGAGTTAAGTGTGTCGTGTAAACTTGCCCTTTGTCTTGCTGCTGATGCCCAATTCAATCTCTTTGGCTCAGCAGTTTAACGGAGATAAATGTCAAGTGACTGACACCAGTTTGGGGAGGATCAGCACTATTGTTTGAGCCCCGGTGGGATGCAAAAAAGACTTTATAAGAACCGGGTAACTTTTCTTTTTAACTGGGGGGCTGTATCTCAGAAACCCCTTGATCAAATTTAGACCACTGATCTTAACCTGCATTTCCATGAGGCAGACCAAATTTTATGACAATCTGTGTCAGCACGTGGACCGCAGGGCAGTCAGAAAACCCAACCTTTAACTAGAAAGTGCCGCTCATCCTGAACAACAGTGGAGATCCAGCTCTCCTATACTGTCACACGTTGACCCAGTTACAACCCAGGGTCAGTTCTTCTCCCTTATCCGGTGGGAACCCGGACAGGCGCTCAGATCCATACTAGTTCTCCGCACGGCCGCGGCTCACCCCAATGGCGTAGCGGATGATTCCAGCTCTCTCAGTCTCGGAGATGGCGTCTGAATAAGAAAGCGGGTCTCCAGATTTCTCCCCATCTGTGATCACAATGAGAACCTTGGTGGCTTCACCCCGAGCTCCTTTCGAAGAGGTGAAAAGCTCCCGCCTGGAAAAGGGAGGTGGGGAATGCATTGGAGGGCTATTGATATGTAATAACACCTAGCGGTCGTCCACTGCTTTGGCATTGCAGATCTCAAAGTCCTTTACAAAGAAGGTCAGTGTCCCCACTTTACTGATGGGGAAACTGAGGCACAGGGCAGGGACATGACTCGCTTAAAGTCACACAGCAACAGAGGCTAAGAGAACCCCAGAGTCCTGGCTCCCAGCATCCACCCCCCTCCCTCCCCGCTTTAACCTACTAGTCCCCACTCCCCTCCCACAGCTGGGGATAGAACCCAGGAGTCCTGAGTCCCTGTCCCTTAGCTCGCATGTCCTTGCAGCCCATTCCCTGTGGCGTCAGCACGGGGAGTAGGGCAATACCTACACCACTTCCCGGATGGCGCTGGCTGTGTGTGTTCCTCCCTGAAGCTGCTCAACCCCCGGGACAAGGTGATCGGGGTTACAACTTCTCATGTACTCCATGAAGTCGAAGTGCAATTCAAATTTATTGGAGTACTGCATGAGGGCGAACTGCAAGGGGAGGAAGGGGAGAACAGAGAAAAACAACCCAAGGGATGGAGGGTTAGAAAAGCAGAAATCAGACTCAATTAAAGACTGGGGCAGGCTGTCGGGACGTAGTTGGTTCTGCAGGAATTTTTTCCTGGTTTTGGATGCAAAATCCTTTACTGCTCCCTGCAGCACAGCGCCCCCTAGCACCGCATTGGGGCATTGGGATCAGCACTGACTGCAAGGGGCAGGGTAAGTAGTCAGGGTTCAGCCTCTGCCCGTTACCTGCGTGTCGGTGCTGTGGAAACGTTTCATGATCTCAGAGACAAACGTCTTCATCTTTCCAAAGTCCACAGGTGCGATGCTGCCCGAGCCGTCGATGAGGAGCGCTATGTCTGTGACTTGTTTGGGGCACTCTGAGAGGGACAGGAATGAAGTATGTCCTGACTCAACTCCACAAACATGGGAAATCCATGAGAAAGAGCTAGACCAGACCAATGGGCGCATCTAACCTGATATCCTGCCATGTGCTGGCCACCCGGATCAGACCCTCCCGGCCGGCCCCTCTGTCGTAACATCACCCCACCTGCCTCCTAGAGCAGTCCTGAATCCCAGCTCCTACTGACATCCTGAATGAAACCAATGAGCCCACCCAGCCTGCTATCCCACTCCCCATCAGACCCTGGGCCCCTCTAGACTCATCTCCCCTCCACATCCCCATGGTCCGTGTACCGACCCACAAACCCAGGGTGTAAGTCCCCCCCCACACACCCCTGTGTCACCCCTCACCTGGCTGGTGTCCAGGATGTGCTGGAGTTGCCAGAAGCTCTGCTGCAGGGGGAAGCAGTAGTGACTGACGTACATGTTCTCCCCACAGGCCCGGTGCACCGTGGGGCCAGATACCTGGGGCATGAGAAGTCACGGGATCAGTAGGTGCCCCTCTGAACAGAGCTCTGAGCGTGGGGGATAGAGCCTGCGGCCTGGTCCCCACCCCACATGGATATGCAGGGAAAGGCCCTCCAAGGGCAGGAACCCCCTTGGGGCAGGCAGGACGTCGAGACCTGAGGTCTCAGCACCTAACTCCGAGAGGAGACAGGGGAGATACACGGGGGCATCACCTGCTTACTACACTCCCTGCTACAGCAGTGTCCAGTCACTGTTGCCATGGCAATGTCACCCACTTGCCATGCTCCCTGCTATGTCCATGTACAGTCACTGTCACCATGGCAGCAACCCAGTAACAATGCTTCCTGCTACCTCAGCACACAGTCACTGTCACCATGGCAACATCAGCCAGTTGCGGCCATCCCTCACAACATCACCTCATGATCACTGTAGCCAAAGCGAGGATACCTGGCTGCCACCATTCCCCACTGCATCCTTGTGCTGCCCCTCCAGTTACAGGAGTTACCAACAGCCCTCACACAGTTATCGTGTAGTCATGGGGACGTCACCCAATTGTCACCTCTGAACCATTGCTTCAGTCACGTTGACATGGCCCAGTTACTACCATCCATGAGTAGTGGGGTTTGTGGGGGAGGGACCCCAGTCCCAGCACCCATTTCCCCTAGGTGTGGTACCTACCAGAAACTCGGAGCCTCGGGCAGCCAGAGACAAACCGAGGGATATGTTCATGGCACTGGGGGGCCCTGACAGGGGAGAGATGCACACCAGGCTGAGCAAATAAACTCCACTCCTGTCCCAGAGCGGAGGATAGAACCAAGGATTCCTGACTTCCAGCTCTAACCCACTAGACCCGCCTTCCCTCTCAGAGCTGGGGACAGAACCCAGGAGTCCTGGCTCCCACCCCAATCCTATTGCTGCCCCCCACAGCACAGGGTGCCCCTACTCTGGGTGAGGATCTCCTGGCAGCGTCTGGAGCCCGGGTCGCACTTGTAGACTTTGCCGGTTTCATTCACGTTTCCTGTCTGTAGCGAGGCCCCGATGATCAGCCTGTGGGGAAAAAGAATGGGGGCTCATGGGATGCCCCAAACACCCAGGGGACTGAGGCCCAGGGGAGGCAGCCCAGCCAGACATGCCCCTCACTGATGGGCACAAGTCATGTGGGGTCCCATGTCTGGCTCTTACCCCCCAGCGCTGGCATTCCCGAACTGCAACACACTCTGCCCAAACCCCTCAGCTGCCTCCTGGAAGGTGATGGGTCCCTCCACGTCCACGCTGAATCCATGGCTCGGTGCCAGCACTGCAGGGGTTAAATAGTCTCCAGTTAGACCTTCCCCTATGGCTAGGTCTACACTACAGGGTGTGGGGGGGTCGACCTAAGATACGCAACTTCAGCTACATGAATAGCATAGCTGAAGTTGCGTATTTTAGGCCAGGGAAAACTGAGCTCCCTCTGGGAGACTCCAGCAGGAACCATCCCTCTACTGATGCTCAAGCCATGAGAGACCCATCAGACCCTAACACTATGATCAAGGATGTGGGTATAACTATATTTGTAAATTGTGCTTAGGTCTGTATAGAATTTCTTTGTGCTTGGGTAATCATAACCAACTTTAATAAAACATCAAATAGATTAGACCTTGTACTAGTGAATTATAGATGGTCATTACCTTTGATCTTTATGTGTTCCTATGGACTCTAAATTTGAAGCAAGTAACAGAGGTGACGTTCACTCTGTTAATCTTGAAACTGTAGGCGCGAGAGCCAAACCCACAGTGGTGTCACACCAGATTACAAAATGTACTTTAAATAAAATAAAAGTCCACAGACAGAAGGGACCATTGTGATCATCTAGTCTGACCTCCTGCATAACACAAGCAAGAGAACTTCCCATGCATTAATTCCTGATAGAACCAGAGCAGATTTTCCAGAAAAATGTCCAGTCTTGATTTAAAATGTCCAGTGATGAAAAATCCCCCACCACTCTTGGAAAACTGTTCCAATGGTGAATTACACTTGCTGTTAAAAATGTCGGCTTTATTTTCACAGGCCATGTCTACACTACCACTTATGTCGGCAAAACTTATGTCACTCAGAGGTGTGAAAAAACCACCCCTAAGTGACATAAGTTTTACTGGCATCAATAGTAATTTGCAGAATGCGATGGCAGCAGAAGAGCATCTCCCGTCGACATAGCTACCGCCGCTCATTGAGATTGTTTAATTACGTTGACCGGAGAGCTCTCTCCCGTCAGCATAGAGCAGCTACACAAGTGATCTTACATTGGCGCACCTGCATCGGTACAGCTGTGCTGCTGTAAGATCGCTAGTGTAGACATGGCCTTAGATTATCTAGTGTCAACTTTCAGCCATTCGATCATATTAGACATTTATCTGCTAGATTAAAGAGACCAATGTTAAATATTTGTCCTCCTCATAGCTACTCAGACTGGGATTAAGTCAGACCTTAACCTTCCCTTAACTAGACTGAACTCCTTGAGTCTATCACTATGGAGCAGGTTTTCCAATCACACAAAACACCAAACAGCCACTGCATGGTTACACTGAACTCCGACCACACAGAGTAGCTAACTCCCCTGATGCAAAGCTCCCCACATGGGAATGGCTGGGAGAAGTGGGTGAGTGGGGAAACCCCTCCCCGACTGGCTGTTCTTCCCCACATCCCCACCTCCTGGAGAAAGGCAGCCAATCAGGGCTTCTGCAGAAGGCAGGTAGGGCTGAGAGGAATTGTGGGAGAGAAGTAGGGAGTGTAATAATCTCTCAGGTTGGCTCTGCTCTCCTCCCCCTTCCCCCGCCTGCTCCATTCCTGTAAGCCCGGACCTGGGAAGCAGAGTCCCCTGCTTGGAGCTGCCCCCTTTAGGCTTGGAGGCAGTAAAGACTCTCCATATTTGCAGGAGGAGCAAATGTGGGGCAAGGCGGGATGAAGAATTGTGGGGCTGGTGGGTGGGGTTGGAAAATTGCAGGGCTGGCTGTACAAAAGGGGTGCTGGGAGAGTGGGGGCAGGCTCCCCCAATCTTCTCGTCTTAGGCCTTGTCTCCCAGTGTGCCTCAACGCCCCAAGTCTGTCATCCTTATTCTCAGCCACCACAAAGTCTGCCCTCCCCCAGGCCCTGCGAGGTCCCAGCCTCACAGACAGAGCAGACGTGACTTTGAAGCAGGAGAAACCTGTGGTGACTTTATAGCAATTACTGTGCCAACCACGTCCACTTCCTGCCCACCAAACGGGATGGGGGAGCAGGCAGATACTGGACACAGTGTTGCTATATAATACTTTAAATACTTTTTATTGTTTACAAAATGGATCATATTTATTTTACATTTATACCCCAAACATACTATACCAGAGCCCAGTAGTTAGACGTTTTGATGGTTAGTTGGGGTTTAGTTTAGTTACAAGGTGCGGGGAGTTCACAAATACCACACCATATATAAACAGGGCTTTGGATTATTGAAAGACTTGAAATTGCAAATGTGTGAAGCTTTTATTAAAAATTTACTTTGTGACATTATTAGTTTTTTGTTTTTGTTGTTTTGGGCCTTTGTTTTAAAGAGACAACTTTGGGCAGGCTGCCATGATCCAAGGCACGCCATTTTTTAAATGTTTATACATTTTTATAGCAGTTCTACTGGTGTTATTTCCTTACCTGCTGATTCTTGATTTTTTTCAAGGACATAACAAAGTTGTTTGGTACAAATAGGTTTTGACCGCTTGACCTTTAAGTTCTTGCTTTGGTTGCCAAAATGCAGGTCATGGACTCAGTTTTCAAACACACGACAGCCACACTAGACCCCATGGCCTATAACATATTACATAGATATATAGATGTTTAATATCCCAATATTCTCCCTTTTGATACATGATTAATAACATTAATTATTATATTACTTTATAATTTTTAAGCCATTTAATTTTATATATTTGTAACCCTTGTGCCCATCAGAGTTGGCAGCAACAAGGGCCGGTTCCTTTTCAATAACATAACGCAAAACTGGCTCGAGCCCCCACTCAGTGACCTGGGACAATTACATACACCCCCCTGGGCAATTCTAAGAGGCAATACTTCCGCTCTCACAAGCACAGAGTCTGTGGGCATGGCTACACTTGCAAACGTAGAGTGCTTTGAATTAAACCAGTCTTCGTAGAGTGCAGTAGGGAAAGTGCTTCAGTCTGTCCACACTGACAGCTGCAAGTGCACTGTCATGGCCACATTTGCGGCACTTGCAGTGACATTGGGAGCGGTGCATTATGGGCAGCTATCCCACAGAGCACCTCTTCCCATTCTGGCACTGTGGCTTGTGGGAAGGGGGCAGGGAGTGTGGGGCATTCTGGATCCTGTCCCAATGCCCCGTGATGCATCGGTTCGCATCCCAGCATTCCCTTTGCTTCCATCCACATTTGGCACCATCTTTCACCATTTTTTCTACTGAGCGCTCCATCTTCCCTTTCGGTCTGCGGGAATGGAGCCCGAACTGCTGAGGTGTATGGTGACGAGTCTCGACAGCACATCACGTTTGGCAGTCGAGTTACTCCTTAGGATCCAAAGTGACAGTGAGAGCTCTGACGATGATATCGACTGCCTTGAGGGCAGGGCAGTAGAGTTCAAAGTGATGACCAGAGTGGCTAGCACAGGCATTGTGGGACACTTCTGGAGGCTGATCAGAGCGCACTATAGGACCAGAGCATCCACACTGGCGCCGTGGCGTTCCAGCGGGGGCACAGCAAACGTTATTCCACTCCCCAAGGTGGAATACCAGCAGTGCTGTAGCCCTAGAGTCAGAGCGCTCTACGTGCCTTGCCAATGTGGACAAGGAGTGAGCTAGTGTGCCTGGGGCTCCTTTATTGCGCTGTAACTCGCAAGTGTAGCCAAGCCCTGAGTGTAGCAAAAGCCTTTTAATAAAGGGGGAAAACAATGCGGCATTATGTTGAGGAAACACCACAAACAGGATTCAAAACACAAGCCATGAGGAAAAGACCCTCCCCCAAGTAAGTCTGGCAGTGTCCTTTTCTCCTCAGGGTCTTAAGTCCAGCAACCCAAAAGTCACCCAACCCACAGTTGCTGTCCTTGGTCTGTACAGCCCCAGAGTTCAGAAGTTCATCTGCAGAGTTCACCTCTGAGCCTGGGTGGAAGTGCAGGGAGGTATGGAGGCACTATACACTCTCCACTGCTCGAGCCCTCGAGGGCCAATTGCCACACCTCTCTGTGGGGTTCTGCTTCAGTCCTCTCCGCCAGCCGCCCAGCTGGCCACGCCAATCCGCTAGCTGTTCTGCTAACCGTACCACTCCGCCAGTTGGCTGTGCCTCTCCGCGCCCCATCCACCAATATGTCTTCAGCCCCCCCCCCACACACACACACTTCACATAGCTCTCAGTGATTTCAGCTGTTAGTAGGGGAGCCTCGGTGCTGGTGCACCTGGATAGTCCTCTTGCATCAGAACCACTAGCCCGAAGTAGGTCTAATGCTTAGACCTAGGTATCAGTGATTTCAGCTCAGCAGCCAAAGTGACCATTTAGGCCAGCAGTCCCATCATGCTAGGCAGGGTGGCTGTGCCCGGGCAAACAAGATCAACTCCTGAAGTCCTTTTCCGCAGCTCACCACCAGATGTCAGGGGAGAGCTCATTCTGACTCTGCTTACATATTATTTGCCTGAGAAGTTTTTGTGGCTTTTTTATTTGGCAGTATAAACATAACATAATAAAAGTTAATAAAATTATGAATACAAATAACATAACCATAGGATGTAACATTACATTGGGAAAAGCTGTAAAGTTTGGAAGACCATTTTTTAAAAACATTATACCAATGGTGGACTGTTAGTTTTTGGGGTGTTGTTTTTTTAAAAATGTAATATTTGACCATTGTGGACTGGAATGTTGTTTTTTTTAACTGAGCACATTTACATATAATTCACTTTGTGATGTCATTAGTCTTGTGTGTCTGTTGTCTTTGGCCTTCACCCTCTTTTCCAAAGAGCTAGCCCTGGGCAGGCTGCCATGATCCAAGATTCACCATTTCCTCCAATTCTTATACATTTTTATAACAGTCTTGCTGGGGTAATTTCCTTATCTGCTGATTCTTCATTTTTTCCAGTGTGTTTTGTACAAATAGGTTTTGACCGCTTGATCTTGAAGTTCTTGCTTTGGTTGCCAAAATGCAGGTCATGCACTCATATTTCAAACGCACAACAGCCACACTAGGCCCCATAGCATATATCATATTACATATTATATCCCAGCAAGGGAATCCATCACTACCCTTGGTAAATTGTTGCAGTCGCTAATTACTCTCGCTGTTAAAAATGTTACGCCTTATTTCCAGTCTAAATTTGTCCAGCTTCAACTTCCAAGCCATTGGATTGTGTTAGACCTTTATCTTCTAGACCAGGGGTTCTCATCCTTTTTCTCTCTGAGGCCTCCCTCAACATACTATAAAAATTCCAGGGCCGGGGGGGTGGGGGTGCCTCGGGCACAGGTGTATTTTGGCTTCTATTTGGGGGGCCAGGGGACAGTGGGGCTCAAGCCCCAAATTGCAGGGTCCATCTCCACCTTCTGACTCACCTCAGCAGGCCACCCAGTCTGTATGGGTTGGGGGGCAACCAAAAATTATAACGCAAAGGTGGGGGGCTTAGCTCAAAAAGTTTGAAAACAGTTTAGGGTGCAGGGAGAGGGGAGTTAGGGGCTGTGTGTGGGCAGGGGGGTACTCAAGGTGCAGGGAGGGGGTAGCTAGGGCTGTGTGTGGGCAGGGGGTAGCTCAGGATGCAGGGAGGGCATAGCTTAGGGTGCAGGGAGACGGGTATTAGGGACTGTGCTGGGAGGACTCCCCTGCGGTCCCTGTTCCCGAAGGGGTCCACGAGCCACAGACCCGGGGGGCTCTTACTGGCTGCCACTGCGGGAGTAAAGGGGGCTCGGAGCTTCAGTCTAGGGCACCAGCAGGAGAGGCAGGACTGCTGCCTGCTCCATGCACCAGTCAGAGCAGCAGCTGTCCCACATTGCCGGGCTCTGGCTTCCCACCTCTGACCTGGCCAGGGACAGGGCGTGGAGGGAGGTGTGGAGCTGCCCCAGGGCTGCCATGATTTTGTGCTGCAGTTGAGGGAGGGGCAATGCCCCCATGTCCCCAGCTCTGCCCATGCGCTCAGGGCTTCTGCCCTATAGGGAGCACCGGAGCTACGGAATTCAGTCCAGTGCCTCCCGCAGCTTCAGACCCACAGAGGGATGCCAGAAATTGGGGCTTCAGCCCCACACCTCCCCCTGTTTCAGCCCCACAGAGGGGATCAGGGCTTCAGCCGCAGCGTCCTGCGGCCCCCTTGAAAAGGCTCATGGACCCCCTGTAGGCCACAGACCCCCGGTTGAGAACTGTGAAATCTGGTCTTTTATGTGCTTTTACCTAATCCTATACAAATGTCATGGGGGAGACCAGCATTTCTCCAACTGGGGGTCCTGACCCAAAAGGGTGTTGCAGGGGAGTCACAGGGTTATTTTAGGGGGGTCACAGTAGTGCCACCCTTACTTCTGTGCTGCCTTCAGAGCTGGGCGGCCAGAGAGGAACGGCTGTTGGCCAGGTGCCCAGCTCTGAAGGCAACGCCGCCTCCAACAGCCGCACAGGAGTAAGGGTAGCAGTACCACAGTCCTGCACCACACAATAATCTTTCGACCCACCCACCCCCACAACTCCTTTTTGTGTCAGGACCCCTACAATTATACCACTGTGAAATTTCAGATTTAAAGACCGGAAATCATGAAATTTACGATTTTTAAAATCCTGTGACCATGAAATTGACCAAAATGCTAGACTGAAGAATCCATCATCAAACATTTGTTCCCCAGGTAGGTATTTATAGACTGAGATAAGCACTCCTTAGTCTTCACTTCATTCATCTAAATAGTGATCGATTGAGCTCCTTGAGTCTTTCAGGCAGGTTTTCTAATGTTTCGATCATTCTCATGGCTGTTCTCTGAACCCTCTCGAATTTATCAACATCCTTCTTGCACTGTGGGCTCCAGAACTGGCCACAGGAGTCCAGCAGAGGTCACACCAGGACCAAATACAGAGGTAAAATAACCTCTCTGCTCCTACACGAGATTCCCCTGCTTACGCATCCAAGGATTGGCTGCAGCATTGCACCGGGAGCAACTTGGACCAGGCAGTTCTTGGTCTCTCTGCTGAGTCTATCAATTAGTGCAGGGTGGCCTGATAAGCTTGTGCCATGGGAACCACAGCTGAGACCCTCCAAACTCATGTCATACAAGAAACACCAAACAGCCAATCAGTGGCAAAAGTGAATCCCTAACGCAGAGCGTAGCCAACTCCCCTAAGGCAGAGCTCTCCTCCCTTCTGCCCTCTCCATCCCTGCAAGCCCAGGCCTGGGAAGGAGAATCCCCTTGGAGCCGCCCCCTCCAGGCCTGGGAGATGGTAAAGACCCTCCTGAGCTATAGAAGGAGCAGATACCGGGCAAAATGGGGCTGGGTGAGGGCCTGGGGGCAAAGGGAGGGCAGGGAGGAGCTGAGGTTGCCTCCCCCATTCTTTCCTTCATCCCCTTTCAAGCCCCATCTCCCAGTCTGTCCCCGCTTCCTAGCCCATCCCACTCATCCTCAGCCACCCCAAAGTCAGCCCCCCTCCATTCCCTGACGGGTCCAGGAGAGATGTGACCTTGAAGCAGGGGGAAGTGGCTGTGGTTTTACACAAAGATAAAGCAACTGCAAACACTGCATCCACTTCACACCTGACAGACTCTCCTCACACACACACAGCAGAGAGTGGGAGTCATACCTGTGACCCACTCCCATCCCAGAGAATCTGGAGGGAACAGAACACAGAGGGAACGGAACCCAGGAGTCCTGATTACCAGCCCTCCCCCACACCAGACACGAGAGCCCCATTCCTCTCCCAGAACTGAGGAGAGAACCCACAAGTCCTGATGCACAGGCCTCCTGCTGTACCCCATCGACCCCACTCCTCCCCCAGAACCAGTCAAGGAAAGGACCCCAGAGTCCTGAGCATCCAGCTGCTCCCATCCCCCTGCCACAGGGGTACTCGCTGGGCACCCAGGTGGAGCAGCCCAGCTTTTCCCAGTCATAGAATATTAGGGCTGGAAGGGACCACAGAAGATCATCTAGTCCAACCCGCTGCTCAAAGCAGGACCAATCCCCAGACAGATTTTTGTCCCAGATCTCTAAATGGCTCCCTCAAGGATTGAACTCACAACCCTGGGTTTAGCAGGCCAATGCTCAAACCACTGAGTTATCCCTCCCCCCAAAGCTGGCACTTACCTGCACAGAGGTAGAGGAGCAGAGGCAGGGGGTCCATCCTGTGCTCAGTGAGGGATGTGTGTGGAGCGGGGATGCTCTTATAGGTTGTGTGAAGTTCAAGGGCGCTGCCTGGAGAGGAGGCAGCAGAGCTCAGAGGAAAGAGAAGTGCTATCTGAAAAGAGAGAAACACTGCCAGGGGTGGAGGGGGGACTCAGGGTGTTATAGGGCGGGAATAGAATGGAGAAGGTGGAAAGAAAAAGTCAACTACACTGAAACACCCAACTAGTCAGACACACACACAGCTGTGTGGAGACAGATGAAAAACAAACAAATAAAACGATCAAACACACACACACCCTGAACTCCCCCATACCTCTCCCCGTCCATGCCAGTGGTCAGTTAGTCATTTTCCACCATCTCCCCCCGCCCTTTGTAAATTCAAACAATAGTTTCTAATCTTGGGGAAAATACTGCACACACACCTAACCTGAAACAAACACACACGCAACCAGACAAATAGACAACTGGACAGAGACACAGACACACACAGCTACACTGAGACAGACAACAGATACACAATTAGAAACACAACTGCAGTGAGACATGCACACAGCTAAACGGACACACTCACGAACTCAGGGCTACACTTGGGCATAGGCAGAATATGTAGGTGCATAGGGCAGGACACCTGAAAATGTGGGGCCCTCTGGGTCTTAATATCCACCCATCCGCCTCCAACTATGTCTGTTTTATGGCTGCTGCACTCTGATGAATCCCTGGTAATCCACCTCCATGAGAGGCACAGAGCTTTCTGCGCCAGGCTGAAGCACTGCGGTGCCAGTATGGACGCCATGGTCTATTATTGTGCTCTGATCGACCTCCAGGATGTGTCCCACAATGCCTGTTCTAGCCATGCTGGTCATCAGTTTGAACTCTACTGCCCTGGCCTCAGGTGACCAACCCTCAGACCTGCCCTTTAAATTCTCTGGGAAATTTGAAAGTCCCCTTCCATGGAGTGCTCTCAGCGCATCTTTCCAGGTGACCATGCCTCCACACGCCAGCATGGAGCAATGCGGAGGTGCTGGACCTCATCAGTGTTTGGGGAGAGGAGGCTGTCCAGTCCCAGCTGCGCTCCAGCCGTAGGAATTATGATACCTATGGACAGATATTAAGGGCCATGACCGAAAGGGGCCATGACCTGGACACACTGCAATGCAGGGTTAAAGTGATGGAGCTGTAGGATGCCTACCACAAGGCGCAGGAGGCAAACTGCCTATCCAGTGCTGCACCCGTGAGCTGCCGGTTCTACAAAGAGCTGGACGTGATACTTGGGGGCAACCCCACCTCCATTCTGAAGAGCACCATGGACACTTCAGAGGCCGTGCCAGCCCAGAGTGCAACGAGCCAGGATGAGGAGGAAAGTGGGAGCGAGGGTGCTGAGGAGGAGGGGTGCCCGGAGCCAGAGTATGACTCGCCATCCCTAGATGCATGCAGCCAGGAGCTGTTTTCAAGCCTGGAGCAAGCTTGCCAATCACAGCATCCGGTGCTTGGGGAAGAACAAACAGCAGAGGAGGTGCCCGGTAAGTGGCTTTGATTTTGTGAAGGGAGTTGTTGGATGTGGGTTTTTGGGTTGTTGAAAGAAGAGGGGGAGAGAAAACAATCCCTAAGCACAACTTGTTCCGGTTGACTCCTGTCGGTTAACCACGACCAACTTGATATCCAGTTTTGCGGTCACAAGAGAAAACCAACGACTAAACAGAAATTACACTTTGCATGCTGGTATGTACATACACTTCTTGACAGCGATGATCGCTATGAATGCAAGTCAGCAATGATTGGTAGAGAACTTGCACATTATAACATGGATGTCACAGCCTTAAGCGAAACACACATCTCTGGTATCAGCCAGTTTACAGAGGTTGGAGGAGGTTATTCATATTATTGCGTGGGTCATCCTGAGGGGCGTCCAAGACAAGCAGGAGTTGGCTTCGCCATCAAGATGTTACTAGTTCCCCAGTTTGAATCCCAGCCCCATCAGTCCTCACCTCATGACTGCAAAGCTTAGACTGACTGGAGCATGGACAGTGCCTTGTACTTGTTAGCGCATACGCACCCACATTGCCTGCTGCAGACAATGAAAAGGAGACTTTCTACGAGAGCCTGAATTCAGTGATCTCTTCATTACCTTTTAATTCCAAGCTAAATATACTCGTCGATTTTAATGCTAGAGTTGGTCAAGACTCCACCACATGGCACAAGGTGCTTGGACATCATGGCATTGGAAGGGAGAACTGAAATGGCACCTGTGACGATGTATCCCATAATGCTTTATGGAAATATGACATAACTGGAGTATGTTTTATGCTACATGTGCCATATAACTTATCTCTGTGAAGGCTATGGTCTACTGAATCTATTTATCCTAGTTGTACACATATATCATTTTTGTACTTGAAGTTATGAATATTCACTATATGCTTGCTTGATTTCTAAGTAAGCTTTGTAAGGCATTTGGTCAGTTCCTGGAGAAAGGAATTCACAAAATTAAGTGCAGGACAAACACCAACTAAATCATCCCAGCCAGGGCTTTGTCAAGCCGGGCCTTACAAACCTCTAAGGATGGAGATTTCACCACCTCCCGAGGTAACCCATTCCAGTGCTTCACCACCCTCCTAGTGAAATATTGTTTACTAATATCCAACCTAGACCTCCCCCACCGCAACTTGAGACCATTTCTCCTTGTTCTGTCATCTGCCACCACTGAGAACAGCCTAGTTCCCCATCCTCTTTGGAACCCCCCTTCAGGTAGTTGAAGGCTGCTATCAAATCCCCTCTCACTCTTCTCTTCTGCACACTAAATAAACCCAATTCCCTTAGCCTCTCCTCATAAGTCATGTAACCAAGCACCCTAATAATTTTCATTGATTTCCGCTGGACTCTTTCCAATTTGCCAACATCTTTTCTGTCGTGGGGGGCCCAAAACTGGACGCAGTACTCTAGGTGTGGCCTCACCAGTGCTGAACAGAGGGGCATAATCACTTCCCTCGATCTGCTGGCAATGCTCCCTACTAATACAGCCCAGTATGCCGTTGGCCTTCTTGGTAACAATTGTACACTGCTGACTCATATCCAGCTTCTCAGCCACTGTAATCCCCAGGTCCTTTTCTGCAGAATTATCTCTCAGTCTGTTTGGAAAGAGCCCAGCACTCCATTGATCACTGCTGCGGATACTGTGCTTAAGGCTGTTGACAAGTTCTGTTACCTTGGAACTGTACTCTCCTCCGGTATAAACACTGTTGATGTTGTAATTGCTCGACTAGCCAAAGCCAGCGCTGCTTTTGGAAAATTGACCAAATGCCTATGGAAACTTTATACGAAGGTAGCAGTTTGTCAGGCAGTTGGACATTCACCAGTTGTCCTGACTGTCCTGTTGTGTGTATTGGAGTCATGGACCATATATCGCCGCCGCGTTTCAAAACTTGATCAGTTCCATATGCGCTGCCTCAGGAAGATTGTCCATGTGAACTGGTGGGACAGAATTCCAAACACGGAGGCCCTTAAGCTGTGTGGTATCATAGGCACGGAAGCAATGCTTATGAACAAACAGTTTCGCTGGATTGGTCATGTTATAAAGATGGATGACACATGGATCCTGAAGATGGTCTTCTACTGCCAGCTTGTTTGTGGAAAATGCTCCATTGGCTGTCAGTATAAGCACTGTAAAGATGTGTTAAAGGCCAACATGAAGTCATGCAGCATATCTCCCAATGATCTGGAAATGATATCTCGGGACAGATGGTTCTGATGGCAAACTATTACACAGGCTCTCAAACGCTTCGAGAGTGAATGTATCCAGACATGACAAGAAAAGTGTAGGGTTCAAAAAGAGTGCACGGCACCCGTAGGTGGCGGATTTTTATGTGACATCTGTGATTGGATTTCCCGATCGAGGATTGGCCTAGTCGCTCACCAACGGTGTCATAGAAGGTAGCACCAGCCCCGGCGACCAGCCCTATCCCTCGGCCGGCCCCCCCCTGCAAGGGGCAGGGCTGTCCTGGGGGGGGGGGGGGCTCCAGAAAACTCCCTCCACCCCACTTTTTAGCCTTTCCCCCTGCTCCACCCCCAGCTCGCCCCCATTCCACCTCTTCCCCAAGCAACCCCGCACTTACTGGCAGCGTCAGGAAGTGGAGCAACCTTCAGCCCGCTCTACTGCGCCAGCTCCCAGCCGCGGTGCTCCGCTTCCCGCCACTGCCGGTGAGTGGGGTGGGGTGATCCCTTCCCCCAAGCCCCCTCCCCTGAGCAACATGGCTGGGGCCGGTGCAAGTGAAATGGAGCGGGCTGCTCCTGACCCCCGGGCCACTCTGGGGCCCCCAAGATACCCTCCCCTCCACAGCTCCTGCCTCCCAGTCCCTTGGCAGAGAGGCCTGGGGCCCCCCCACAATCCCCCACAGGGGGGCTACATAGGACACCCAAATGGCTAGGGACGGCCCTGCGTGGCTGTGCCTGGCCTGGGGCTCCTCCAGGCAGGTGTGGCAGGCTCAGGGATTCAGCCAGCCCAGGGCTCCTCCCAGCTGGGGGGGGCACTCAGGGCAACTCCGGGTGGAGGGATTGTGGCTCTGGCCATGGGGGGGGAAGGGGTTTTGGGATTCCATTCGTGGTGGGGGGAGGTAGATGGGACAGAGACAGTGGCTAGCCTCCCCAAAGGGGGGTTCCACCCACCACCCATGGTGTTATCCCTTTTGCATTGAGGGGTTAGTCGGTATTCAAGGTCTTGTGGGTATTTTCTGTTAGAAGGCTAAATTGATGATGGCGTCAGGGATTTCTTTGACACTATCCTGTTTGTTTACAATGAACATGGAAAGTCCTGTTTCCCTGGACACAGCAGGAATCAAACAGCCAGAGGCAAAGGTTTGTATACATTTTGGAGGTGCCCAGAACGGGTCCAAGTCCCACACCCAGACACACACACACCTGCCTTGTGAGGGTGGGGGGTGAAAACTCTGGCTCTGGGGTAGGGCTGGGGATGAGGGTTTGGGGGTGTGGAGGGGCTCAGGGCTGGGACAGAGGGTTGGAGTGCAGGGGTGCAGGCTCCGCTAGGGGTGCAGGCTCTGGGGTAGGGCTGGACAGGGGATACATCGGTCGGTTGGGGTGTGCACACGTGTATGGAGATCCTTCCCTGTACAGTAATTAAGAACCTGTGAATCTCCGCAGGTGGGAAATGAAATGACTTGGCCCCAGGGAAGCAAGTGGCAAATGCCACTGTAGCACCCAGATCAGTTTCAACTGTCGGGAAAAGACATTGCAAAGCTCTTTTGGTGCCCCTTGT